ACATATACATATACATATACATATACATATACATACATACACATATACATACATACATACATACACACACACAGAGACATACATACATACATACATACATACATACATACATACATACATATATTTAAAGTCACAATCCCTGGTATGCCCCAATTATGGGAGGAAGCTAATTGCTTCCATTATCTGTCAATCGGTTTGTCACAAGAGTCCATCACGACAGAAACCCAATATTTTTACTGTTGCCTTTGTTATATTTGTGTTATATTTGTGTGCACGCACGCGCACACACAAACATATATATATATATACATACACATATACACACACACACACACACACCATACATATACATACACATTCATACATCCTTATTATATTGTGTTATACAGAATGCTTGAATGTCAAAGCTTTAAGTTTCAAGCAAGCGTATTCCTATTTGCACTGTAATTTTGCATATATATATAATAATATAAAATTTATATTATATTATTATTTTATATTATTATATATTTAGATAGATAGACAGACAGATAGATAGATATGATAAATATTTGTAGCATAAAGATATAGTATTTACCTTTTCTGAAAAGTATTATTAACTATAGCATTAAAAATAAGGCGGTCACCGACAGTTGAAGGTCCTCGGAATTTAAACATATCTACAGATTTCAGAGTTGGATGCACATGACACAGGCGGCTGAATGAAAGCAAACAAAATTAAATTCACATTTTTATGTCAATGCAATGATTTCTACAGAAATACTACACAAAACTGATTTTTAAGTTTAAATTAGCTTTCAGAAAATTAATAAAATGTATTCAATGAGAAGTGAAATTTAAGAATTGTGTTTTAATATTCATATTTGGGAACAATTCTGTATATTTTTTATACATACGTCACATTATCAACTATGCTGTTCAATTTTATTTTTACTAATCAAGCTTCTTGAAAAGTTCTATGAAATCAAATGAATATGTTGACAAATAAGAGAATTTGTCACTAACAAATTCTTAAGCAGTGACTCCCATCTGTGTGATTATTTGTAAAAATACAAACAGAGGTGATTGTGTGATCATTGATGATACATATGTGTCATCAGTAGTGGGATTCAAATTTTTTTACTACAGTTCTGTGGGTGAGGCATGGCTTGATGGGCATGGCTTGGTGGGTGTGGCAGGGGAAGGATACTGTAAAATCCCTCCCCACTCCAGGAGAAGGTTACTACAAAATCCCCATTTCTTCCAAATCAGCTGGGACTCGAGAGGCAGAGAAACAGATGTGGGTGGGGCCAGTCAGAGGTGGTATTTACTGGTTCTCTGAACTACTCAAAATTTCCACTACCGGTTCTCCAGAACTGGTCAGAACCTGCTGAATACTGTATCATCAATGATCCCACAATCACCTCTTTGTTTGTATTTTCACAAATAATCACCAATCCTTTCATTTTTATGTGAAAATAAATCTTCCATTTAGATTTATTTTAATGCATAAATGTTCTAAAACATTTTGGCTAAGAACTCAGTGTTTACATAAGTCTGAAATTTTTAACCTTTGTTTAGCAATGACATTGTTTGGGGCCATTATTTATCCTTAGCGTAACTCAATTACCTCTTTATGATGTACCAGAATTGTTAAATGTGCACAATTATCTGTTTCTAATTAATTTAACTGAGCATCATTATAATGAATTCAAATTACTTTGGATTTCATTAGGAATAATTTGCTCCTCCTATTTAAATTGCTAAATATCTAATTTGCAATACTCACAGTTAAGGACACCAGCAGATTAATATCAGACCAGATGTGAAGGATATATAGGTTTGTTGTCTATTTTGTTCTTAACATTGTTATTGAAAATTAAAATAATTTTATTAAAGCAAGACTTCCATGCTTTTGTTTAGATCTTATTGTAAAGGATTATTTCTGGATCTAATGTTTGCTTAGTATTGCAATAGTTAAAAATGAACAAAGGATAACATTCCTCATCATTTAAAAGATCTTTTATTTGTACAGTAGGTCCCTAAATCTCTCCTCTAGGGCAGATTTTAATGTTGAGAAATTACATGATAGATGAGAAATTACTCTTTTTTATAGATAGTATTATTTCCATCACTTGATAAACTGTGCTAGATATCATCCATAAACTTTAGATACACTATTCTGAATTTAACTTCCCTTTGTGTTTTGCAAATAGCCTTTAAAATAAATAAATAAACATCCTCTTTTTATTCCTCGGCAGTGTGTGGCCATAGCAACTCTGCCATCTTCCAAAGGTCAAATCTAATTGTGAGTTGTTTTACAAAAGCTTTGCAGCAAGGCCATTTATTTCTCAAGCAGAACAGACAGTTTTTGGTTACCATTTAGCAATGTTTCTAATGTATTTCCATAAAATACAGTAGAATTTTAACTTTATGGATTATGCTCCTTATTTTTCTTGTTACAACTATTTGGTTTCTTACAGCTAAATATGACTCCTGTTTTGTCCATTCAGATGTATTACAGGTATTTGGTGTATACATTTACGTAAAAATGTTGCTTTCTTGGGTCTTTGTGGTGATTATAACCTTTGATAGATTTACAATTTTAATAAAATGATCTATTTATCTGGCAAAGAAGCAAAAGCAGTTATTGCACATAAGTTCAGGCTACGAATCAGAGCTACATGAATAATGAATGGGAATGACACATCCAGCATCCTGACAATGAATCCGGCCCACTGAAGTGTGAAGGGAATTCTAATAGAAATTCATGTCTCTCACGCACAAAGAAAGAGTTGCATGTACCCAGCAATTGGGGGAGGAGAGTGGAATTCTCTGTGTGATGAGATGAACTTTCATTGAGACCCTCCCTCCTCTTAGTTTTACCTAGTAGCGATTATTTCTTACTAAATGTGCCCGATAATATCTAATACAGAAGAAAGTTCTATGAATAGGCACCTTGCTGAAATAGTAGCCACTGTTTCCATCCAAGCCATAATTTGGCCACCAAATGTATTTCCTTGATGATTGGCATGAGGAGGCAGGACGAGTTCAATGCTCTGCACATGAGTGCAATCGGTGTAAACCACATCTTTCTCTTTACTGCAAACATGGTCTAGAACATATGACCCTGGTGTTAGGATAATTGCCAGCACTCCAAGTACACTTACATTTCAACTGAAGTTACAATGTTTTATCCTAGCACAGCTTTTCTGAATTTCATAGACATCGATAAAATTTGTATTGCATTAGAAAAAGTCTATCACTTCCATATTCTTTTAGGACAGACATTTCTCATGTGCACTATTATTACAGGAAGTTGTGAAGGCAATTGGGACTGCAATTTCTATTGCTAAACAAAGCTGCTGCAAAGCACATCACATGACCGCATCACTTTAGCAACAGTAATCCTTTAGTCCAGGCTTCTGTCACAACTCCAAAACTATTACAGGTTGTTAAGTAGGGAAAGACAGAATCAGACCAGAGACCAGATAATTAAGCTAGCAAGTGAAGCTGTTGGGTGAGAGTTCTGGCCAGGCGGGGCTTGCTGTGGTCAGGAGGGAGGTTTGCCAATAGCAGGGATTCCAGTAAATGGGATGGTGTTGGGGTGGGTACCAAGGCCAGGCACTGCAGAGTGCAGGCAGAAAAACAGCAACAGGGAAATTTGGAAATCACAATCATGTGATCGCAGTTCACTGTAACATCACAATTGCCAGCTAGGCACTGAGCACCCATATCACACTCATGTGATTATGGAGATATTGTGATGGTTGGAACTACAAGGGCTGGTTGTAGGTCCCCTATATGTCCAGTGCTTTTACAGCTCTGAATGGTCACTGAATAACCCAAGGACTACCTGTTTTGATTCTGATCTCTAAAAATGTCATGCTATATATCTTTAGAGACTAAATTGACTAGTTATGAGTTTTGAGTTATGAAAATTTATTTATATGCCACCCTTTTCCCTGGGGGGACTCAGGGCGGCTTACAACTCAAGGGGGGGGGGACAAACATTTAACACATGAGAACAATACATAATTAAAAAAGCACAACATTCATAC